GGGATTCCAGTCAAAAGAAAATATCTACAAATGCAAAGACGTAAATTAGTTATTAACCTTGCAAGATTTTTCCAATAGCAACTCAACAACACATCCAAGAAACCAAAATAAAATCCAGACCCTAATCCGGAACCTAAAACTTCAAGTAACCTTTTTCCATCCAATTAAGATTTGATTAGCTAAATAGTCGTTAGTTGCAGCCCTAGTTTATTGGAATAGGATAAGAAAGAGACTGTGGAAGACCAAAACAACTGTTGACTAAAAAAAGCAACCACTGTGAAAAGATCTCACCTTTGGAGCATTTTTGTTTGTTTGTTTGTTGTAAAATCTTATTTATGGAGAAATGCACTCAATAAACATAACATAACATAAAAAATAAAACTCCATAAAAAAAAAAAAATCAATTCTCCAGTCCTTATGTCCTGCAGCAAATGTGTATCCTTTGACTTAAGCAAACTACATACACATTAATCTAAAGCACTCCAGCAATCCCAAAACAAAAGGATTTGAAGTTTAATAGTCAAAATCTGGATTTGTAAATCAGATTGAGAAGCTTTGAAATTACCTTAAACAGGGTGTCTATGCTTGATAACCCTCCAATGAGGTGAAATTAAAATAAGTCCTAAAGTTGACTTTACATCTAAAAACAGGTTTATATGGCTGTTGTAGTTAAGCACTATATGAGATGATAAATAATTATTTTAGGATTAGGATTATTAGGTTTAGGGGTAGTAATTTTGTTTCTAGGTTGATTTATACCTTTTTTCCCCCTTTTTGTGAAACTAAATATTCATTTGAAACTTGTTGATTGTGTGTACTCAGGTCATCTTTGTTCAATTACATGATCTGAAACATTTATGAAAGACAAAGGGGCAAAAAAAAAAAAAAGAAGAAATTTCAGAGCAATAAAAGTTGACTATGTGCAGTTACCTCTCCCACCCCTAGGTGTCCCTCTGCTGTGTCTCCTGCTATCTCCTCCTTTTTCCAGGTGATGTTCCTGTCAGAGCAGCAGCTCCTCGCCGGGTGTGGTGGCTCTCACCTGTAATCCAAGCTACTGGGAGGCTGAGGCTGGAGGATTGTTTGAGCTCAGGAGCTCTGAGCTGCAGTGGCCTATGTTGAGCAGGGGTCCATACTAAGTTCAGTATAGATATGGTGATCCTGGGGGAGCCTAGGACCACCAGGTCAGCTAAGGAGGGGTGAACCGGCCCAGGTCGGAAACGGAGCAGGTCAAATCCCCCGTACTGCCCAGTAGTGGGATCACCTCTGTGAATAGATACTGTAGTTCAGCCTGAGCAACACAGTGAGACCCAGTCTTTTTATACTCATCACTACAATACTGCCACACCTACAGTTACAGTGGAACAAAACACAGCTGCTGTATTACTTATTTTAGCTTCTTTTTTCATCAAAAACCTTCAAACAGCAGCTGTGAAATTTGTCCAACACCGCCTCCTACTGGAGGTCAGCTGATACTACATCAAGCTCTGATGACCAGATGATAAAATAATTTCAGTAAAACAATAATCAGTCTCATAAGTGATCAATAGAAGATCATTATACCTGTGAGGGAAATATGTTCTCTGGTCATTTTCCTTAAGTCATTCTCTAGGACTGTGACAGACCCTAGATATCAGCTCTCTGTTTATTCTGAGTATTTTTCAAAATTAAGTCAAAACCTTTCCAAAGTATAGCTACACCTCGGTGTGACTTTAGTTTAAATTAAATTTTTTATGAGTGAAGACACGTTTTATTGAATATGTCTGTCCAAAACACATATTTCAGAGAATTCCCCTACTAATGCATTCTTAAAATCTGCCAAATGTTGTGAAAGGTAGACACATAGAAATGCTTTACATAAATATATGTACATCTGGTGGGTCCTGATCAAGATGATTCATACAGTAAACTCTTTAAGAAGAGAATTTACATTGGTTGTGATTCATCTAAGTCTGATAGCTCTCAGGCTTTATTTTCATTTTAAATACACAAAGTCTATTTAAAATGCAATTTTGATGCCTACAGCTTTTAAACCATGAATGAGCAGCTTTGCAGTAAAATGAACATTTCCATTTATAAAGTACAGCAGTGATCAAAATGTGACCAGTGCAGGAGAAGAAGAAAACCAGTTTAAAGACGTGGTTCAAAAGGCATTGATATGGAAGTTTCAGAGGGTGCAAAGAAAATAAATGAATGTGGTGCAAAATGCAGTAAAACACTGAGGTGAGTTTCATTTAAAGGGATTAGGAAATTCGCCATGCTTTGCAAATATTATGTTTACAAGTGTGATGCAGAGTCTCCATTTGTGACTTGATTAGTTTCAACAGTTCAACAGTCTAAAGACAGCGGAAAAAACTGTTGCAGAACCTGCTGGTCCTACAGCGAATGCTGCAAAGCCTTTTCCCAGAGGGCAGCAGGGAGAACAGTACATGGTGGGGGAGTGAGGGGTCGCTGATGATGTTATGGATTCTGGACACACAGCGCTGGGATGAAATGTCTGTAATGGAGGGAAGAGGAGCCCTGATGATCCTCTCTGCTGTTCTCACCACTCTTTTCACCTTCTTCCAGTCTGAGGCGATGCAGCCTCCACTCCACACAGTGAGACAGCTGGTCAGAACGCTCTCTATGGTGCTTCTGTAGAAGGTGGTGAGGATGGGTGGGATCTACTCATCCTCTACAGGAAGAACAAGCACTTCTGTGCCCTTTTGACCAGTGAGCTCTGTAATCTCTTTCAGAATGACTTTTCAGCAGCCTGACACATCTATTTATCATTTAGATCTGAAATAAAGAACAGCTAGAAGATTTCAGAAGTCTAAAATTATTGTAGAAAGTGAAAAGTTTGTGTGATCAGGAAATGAAAAGATATAAGATTGATGACATATTTAATAGATTCTGTATTTTCAAAATAAATGTCCAGTTAAACAATAATCTGTCTCATAAGTGATCAATAGAAGATCCTTACACCTGTGAGGGAAATATGTTCTCTGGTCATTTCACTAAGTCAGAGATGTGCGTATTCCTCTGCCTGTTGATATTTGATAAATGAAAAGAAAGTGTTATCTGACTGAGTCAAATAACACACACCTATGCCATCATCTACCTGCTGCAGCAGGCGCTCACCCACCTGGAGCACTGTGAGAGTCATGTTCTTTGACTTTTCCAGCACTTTCAACACCATCAGATCACAGCTGCTGAGAGTGAAGGTGGAGGACGCTGGAGTGGACAGACATTTTGCTGCCCGGACCATCAACTACCTCACCGAACGCCTTCAGTATGCAAGTTCTCAGATGACCTGGCCAATATAGGCTGTGTTTCTGAGCAAAACGAGCTGGTGTCACTCGTAATGAACTTTGTGGACTGGTGTATGAAGAACCACCTGTGTCTTAACACCAGTAAGACCAAAGAGATGGTGATCAACTTCAGGAGAAAACTCCCACCTCACTCCCCCGTGAACATCCAGGGGCAGGACATAGAAACTGGAGAGTTTCAAATTCCTGGGTGTTCATGTCAATAATAAACTGGACTGGACTCATTACACCGACGCTCTGTATAAGAAGGGAGAGAACCGCACCTGAGTGAAGTTGCCCCCCCACCTTCTTCAAACCAGACAAAATTAGCGTCAAACATTTGTGCAACATTTGTGCAGCATAGTTTTCGTTTGTGCTGCTATCATTTTAAAGATATTAAGAAATGTTTCTAGAGGTCATCAAAGGTCAACCAGCCCCCCCACCTTCTTCAAATCAGACGAAATGGGTGTCAATTAACTCACCAGCGTTTGTACTGGTTTGTGCAGGAAAAATTTTTGTTTGTGCTGCTATCATTTTTTTAGTTTAAAATTATATAATCATAGGTTAGCAACTTATAATTTATATAAAATTCAGAGTTTCAGAATGAACAAATGTTCACTGATCTTTGATGGCTTCTACAATTATTAATATCATTAAAATGATAGCAGTACAAAAAAATTATATATTTTAAAATATGCATTTTAAACTTTTTTTATTTATTTTAAATACTTTATATTTAAAATTAATCTTAACATTTTATATTCTTGAATGGCAAAAATTTTCATTTGTACTTCTATCATTTTAATGATCATATTTTTAGAGGTCATCAAAGGTCAGTCAACATCTGTTTTTGCTGCACAAACATAGCAAAAATGTTTGACACAAATTTTGTCTAATTTGAAGAAGGTGGGGGGGCTGGTTTACCTTTGCATTTCCATTAATATCTTCAAAGCCAAAGCAGCACAAACGACAATTTTTGCTGCACAAACGGATCTGAGTTAATTGACACCCATTTCGTCTGATTTGAAGAAGGTGGGGGGGCTGGTTGACCTTTGATGACCTCTAAACATATTTCTTTACATCTTTACAATGGTAGCGGCACAAAGGTTTGACACTAATTTTGTCTGATTTGAAGAAGGTGGGGGGACCAACTTCACTCAGGTGAGAACCGCCTCCACCTCCTGAGGAGGTTTAGGTCCTTTGGAGTGAGCAGGCCCCTGCTTCATATCATCTATGACTCTGTGGTGGCATCAGCCCTCCTCTATGGTGTCTGCTGCCCCCCTAGCAGCTCAGAGCGGGACAGAAAGAGGCTGAACAAACTGGTGAGAAAGGCTGATTCTGTCCTAGGCCACACTCTGGATTCAGTGCAGGAAGGGGCTGAGGGAAGGGTGCAGTCCAAGCTTACATCCATCATGGACAACACCTTTCACCCTCTGCACCATTCTGTAGAGGAGCTCAGCGGCTCCATTAGTTTCTTCCTTTGGCACCACCTTCTCCTTTTGACTATTTGAGCTGATTTAATGAGTACATTTCTCCACTGTGAGATCTATAAAGTCAATCAATCAATGTTTAACAGGAGTATACCATTTCTCCCCTAAATAGGAGATCCAAACTACAAATGAGGTTGATAATACTTTTCATCAGTTCTTAACATATCATGGCTGGCAGAGCTCACAAACCAACCTGATAACACATCAGGGAAATGACTTCAAGACATAAGTAGAAACATTGCTGAGCCTTTAATATACTGGGTACATCAGCAGAAACTCACTTTCATTTTACAAAAGACACTTTTTAAAAATCAGTTCAAATAATACACTAAAAAAAACCATAATTAAATGTTCCATCTAATGTCCTGGAAACACAAATGATGGACATCTTCCACAGCTTGACAACTGACCATGACTCTCTGGGCTTAATTAGCTGTAAGAGGAAAGAAATTAGATTTAGTGGATGCATATAATTTGCATTCATTACATCCATAATCAGCAAAGATGACAACATAACCTAAACTATTGAGATCAGCAGAACTGATTTAACAACAGACCAACATGATCAAAATAAGATTAAATTCTCCGGTTTGGTGGAGAAGAAATTACTTTATGTTTATGTGAGTAGATATTATGTTGCGGTTTCTAACCTGCTCTGTCTTTCGTCCACTTCAGGGCGTGTCTGGGAGGCACAGCTGCTGTTGGGTGGTAGAAGGTACACCCAGCTCTTTTACACTGCGTGGCAAAACGACAAGGCTGTAGAGGAACAGAAACAAGTCAGAACTGCTCAGATTGAAAGCAACTACTAGGTGACTCCATGGTTAAAACCCTCTATGCAGAGCTACCTCTTAGTAGCCTGATAAACCAGACTAACGTGAGATTAAATGTGTAATATAGTCTGGCCCTGATGAATGAGACATCGGAAGATTGTTGATGGGAACCACCCCTTGTTTTTTTAAAACATGTCTGTGCCTATTGGCCAATACTCGTAGCGTGACAGAAAGCTGGTGGGGGAGTGTAAACACAAAAAAAAAAAAGCCTGTCGGTAAAATGGTGAATACGTCCTTCTTAAAACGAATGAGCGTAGAGCCTCTTCTTGCTCACGTTTAAAAAAAAAAACAAGTCTAATCCTTACAAGACTGATTCCAAAGCTGAGTCAATCGAGAACTGTTCAATAGTTGCCATCTTCCTTGTTTTGCTTTCTCCAGAGTCGCACAGCTTTTTCATCACGCTCTCAAAACCCCACCCGCTTTGGATCAAGAAATTCAAAACACATCACTGCGTTGTGATTGGCCAGCCACTTCTAGGGCCTGGGGCATTGATCGAGGCTAGATCACTCACAGGCAAAAATGACTTTGGACACAAGCGGGCGGGGCTAGTTACTATGCTAACCTATTTGCTTACCTTTGGATGAAAAAAGGGACAGTCCACTTTCTTGCACTCTGGGAAGAAGCGACACACGGTTGCATTCTGGTTTGGTTGCACAGCTGTCAGGATAAAATAAACAGAATTATTTTTCATGTATATAAAGGCACGCTCTAATTTTTTTTAATCTACAGTTGTAGCTTGTTGAACCACCCCTTTTTAACGGTAAAAGCCTAATTTTGCAGGCTTCATAGGTTGGTTCTATTCGTTTTGTATTTTAGAAAGTTTTGGTTTAGTTTTTTTTAAAATCTGAACAAATTGTGTTACACCAGGCAGTATGTTTTTTTGGAATCCTCAACTAAATCCTACCAGCAGAGATAGAACTGTGTTGTAACAGCCAGGATCAAGTCCTTCTCTACAAGACGGAAAAGTGCCAAATGCCGTTAAAAGAGGAGTTGCAGTTGTAAGGTAACGCAGCCATAAAGCTGCCTTGACCAAGGGGGGGATAACTGTTTTAATTCCTATTATGTGGTGGATGTATTTGAGTTCTTGTTTGCCCTCTTGTGTCATTCTCCCTTTCCCTAGCTCCCTTCTAGATTCATTTGTCACACCTGCTGATTAACCTTGTCTTTGTTTCTCTCTCCCATATATTCACCTCCTGCTCAGTCGCTGTTGCTGTTTTGTCATCATTTCATCCCCTTAAACTGAGTTTTCCTGTTTTTTCTATATTTTTGTGGATTCTTGGGAGTTATGTTTTGGAGTTTTACCTCTGTTGCCCCTTTTTGGTTAATTAAACCTGCAAGTAACCACCTTCAGCTTCAGTGTCTGCATGTGTCAAACCTCTACCCCACTGTGACAGTACTTCTTGTTAAAGGGCATATTTCTCACTCTTGTCACACAGTTGCTTATGATGAAAGGATTGCTGCAAGATCGACAACTTGATTTACTTGGCTCGGTGTTCTTAACTGTAATTATAATTACTGACTACAATGTATTTCATAGATATGAATCTAACAATATAATTATATTATATTAGATCCTGACCAAGTACCTTTTTGTTCAGCATAAATACAAAGAAAAGCAAAACAGAGCTGCTGTAAAGTTGCACAATAGATAGAGAACATTTAACATAAACACAGATTGTTTTACTATGAAGGCAATCAAAGGTTACCTGTTCTGGGTGGAGGAACAACAGAACCTCTGCGGCTAACGTGAGTGAAGGGACAGTCTGGCTTTGCGCAGCGAGCGTCATATTTACAGTTAGGATGCACAAAAAGGCATTTATCTCCAAATTTGCAGTTTGGGAAAGTCCTGAAAAAAACAACACAATAATCCATAATTTCTCAGAATAACTCGAACGCCTGGAAGATTTATGTACTCTAGTTCCATCAAAGTTACTCACTTGCACTGTGCTGTTGGGTGATGGTACATACACTCATCTCCACTTTTACAGACAGGCCAGAACTTGCAGCGCTCCATAACCTTCTGCTTCTTCATAGGGACATCATCCTCACCTGCCATCTCCATCTCCATCCTTTCATCTGTCAATAAATAAAGAAAAGTGCTCCATCTGTCATTTTGGTTTTTACTTAAGGGAACATAAAAAATATAACAGTGGAAATGCCAGACCTTCTGATGATGTGACCACACCCTGTAACCTGCTGAGGATGCTGACTTTGGGCTCCCTGTAAACCGGCAGGCCGGCAGCCTCTGTAACCTTTGCTGATGGTCTCACATCATCCAAATCCATGTCTCCGTCTAGAAGGTTACCCAGCGGGCTCGGAACACCGTCTAACGTCACAATGAACTTTGGACTGGAGGAGTCAACTCCCTCCCTTTAAACAAGAGACAGACATTTTAGGGGAGATTCGCAGGGAGAATAATAAAAAACCCCACAAAAAAATAAAATGTAATGCTCTGCAAAAAAAAGTATAAATCTTTGTACTTATGCACATGTTTTATGTTGAAACCAAGTGAACAGTTTTGATCTGAACTAGTGTAGGTCTAACTCCTTGTTTAGTTGACTAACTGTAAGAAAACTCTGCTGCAAACTTCTACAGCATTTCTTCCAGAATATCTCTGTCTTCAGGCAAATTGATACCAGTCCCACAACATGATGCATCCACCTCCATATTTCACAGTAGGGTGGATTTTTACTGGATGTTGGACAGCATTATGTTTATGTCACAGGTGCGCTGTGGGATTCTAGACTCCTGTTGGTTCACCTTTTCTTACTACCTTGCACCTGCTTCAATTAGTCAAGGCAGACAGCACTGTGAGGATAATGTTCTTCGATTTCTCTGCTGAATGTAACAATTCAGCCTGACTTACTTTAGGAGAAACTCCAGAAGACTCAGGTGGAGGCATCAACAATTGCCTGATCAAAGATTACCTAACAAACAGACTGCAGATACACTGAAGAGTCAACTGTCTAATCAAGTAGTCAGAAGCACAAGAGCACCACAGGGGATGCTACTCTGACCAGTCCTGTTTACTCTGTAGGCGTCTGACTTCCAGTACCAGACTGAGTCCTCTCATCTTCAGATACATACTTTGGCTCTACAGTCAGAGCACAAAGAGGTGGTGAACCGCTTTGTGGCATGGTGTGGAAACAATCATCTGATCATGAATGTCAATTAAACTAGGGAGGATGATTGTAGACTTCTAAAGAAACACGAACAAGGTGAAACCTATTAACATCAAAGGAGAAGGAGTTGAGGTGACGGAGGAGTATAGATACCTTGGTGTTCACCTGGACAATCTATAAGCAGATTGCTTGCTAAAGACGCTCAGGTCCTTTGTATGCAGCAAGATGCTGCATATCTTATAGCCGTGTGTTGTTGAGTGTGATATGCATCTGAGCAAATTACTTAAAAAAGGCTCAACAAGCTTATAAAAAAGGCCAGCTGTTCTATGAACTCTTCTAGAAACTGGAGAAGATTTCACAAAGAATTCCCAATAAAGTGAAGACAATTATAGACAACAATAAGCATCCTCTTCATCAGACTATTAAGAGAGTGTCTTCAGTAAGAGGCTTCTCCAGATCTGCTGCATGACAGACTGCTACAGGAGATCATTTCTGCCTATAGCTATAAACGTCTATAACAAGTCATTGGGAAAAAAAAGAGCAAAAAAGTTACAACAACACTTAATTTCCCTTTGGAATAAATAAAGTATTTTGTTGGTTGTAACTTGCAATGTTAAAGCTAATTCAGTGTGCATACCTGGCCTGGACTGTGCGTGGCAAAGCTGGGGTATGGACTTGTTGCTGACTTTGGACAGACGGTTCCTCCAAGGTCGGCCGACTCATTATGAAAGAGCGCGTATCTGAGGTCTTTGACTCACAGCCAGCAGGGGTTTCCACAGCTGTATAAAAATCAATTCAATGTGAGGAGGTAGGTTTACATTTGAGCAGTTGTTTAAACTTTCCCTAAAGGAAAAAAACACTTAGCAGGGAAAAGAAAAATCCATTGTCAAAAATAATTTATTTGATGTCTATTAAAATCTAGATTTTTGGGGGGTTTTACTGTAAATTAGTACTCTTTAATCACATTTGATTGTTTTATACAATGACATTTTGAGCGGTATGCTATAAAGTTTGGAAACTGTAGCCTAAAAAGTTGTATACCTTGTCTTTAAGAACTTAAATGTTGCTTGACTTGTCTACAGCAGTAACTGACCAAACAGGAGTAAGAAGAGACCCATACCATATTCAATCTGATGTTGTGTATCAGCGGCCTCTAACTGAAGACGTGAAGCCAATGATCTCGCTAGAGTTAGAGCAAAGAATTAATATTACATTAAATAACATAGATGAACAGAGATCGCTGTTAACTTCTTGCATACTTGGTGTTCTGGAGGCAGGCTGCTCCACAGCGGCGTATGCTTCCACTCTGGGGGCTAGGTTGTGCATCAGCTGGATGGCTGCAGATATCTCTTCGCTGCTGGCCAAGCGCGTACGAGGCGCCACAGGAACCGTCTGTCTCTGTGGCACTGCAGGAAAGTGTTAGGCCAGGAGAGCACAGGTGAGACTAAAACACAGATTTAACCTGTGATAACTCTAGACTTTCTGAATGATCTTGCTAGCATGTTAAACCGGCCGGTAACCTGGAGAATTGTGAGTGTTGCATTTCTGAATCTGTATCTGAAGGAAACTTACTTGCAGGATAAGATGTAGTTTTGGTGATTGAGTCCTGAGCCTCAGAGATGGCCTTCAGGATGAGATTCCTGTTGGCTTGTTTGGCTGGTGGGAGAGTCGGTCTAAATAAAATAAAACAATAAAAAGCTTGCTTGAGCTGAATGATGTATATATTATGAGGCCGAATGGAGTGGTGCACTAATAGGAAAATCCTGCTCGATATCAATATCAAAAATTGTTATTGTTGTTATGGGAAATTACTGATATTTATATCAAGGGTGTAACTTTGTGATGAAACTTGGGGGGACACTAAGGCTGATGGACCTACAGTTTCCTATTGTACTTTCCTATTGTTGAGGACACGAAAGAACCAAACTATACTTATATGTATATCTATGGGTAGTTAGACATTAAGTATAAAAAAAAAAGGATGAATAACAGCTGATTCCGATGCCAACAGCAACATATCATGCCTCCCTAGTATGGACACAATTTCAGTTTCATTCATCCATCTATTAATCCATCCAGAAAACAGGAATACATTGGTGGATGTTTTCCCTTTGCAGCAAAATCAAATTTAGAAATTTGTCCCACATATTGTGAGAGACAAAGTTTATGTTTTAAAATTATTGGTGGGGACTGTCCCCACCAGTCCTTCAAGAAGTTACGACTGTGATTTCTATATTTATTTGCAAAACCAACCAAATTGCTGACAATAGTTCTCTGCTTTGGTCAAACACCCAAACTACCACGCTGCTTTAGTAAGACTAACTTTCGCTCAGGTTTGGAGGGAAGCGACACTCTGCTGGAGAGGCTTCTGCTGCCATAACTCGGGTCATCTTCTTCTGCATCATCACTTTCTTCCTCGTCTTCCTCGTCTGCTCTGTTCACTCGAACGACAGAGCTCGCCACGGGAGCCTTCCTTTTCCGTGACATCTCCTCCTGCTGGGAAGAGGAGCGCAGCCATCGTTAAAAACACAACAAGGACATCTGCAAAGAAACTGAGCATTTTAATAATTCTGCCTGCTATCAAATGTTTTCATTAGAGCATTTCCAAAATAGCACCAATATACAGACTCAAAATCTCTCATCAAGTGTCATACAGAGCTGTTTGCATCTACATTTTTTAAACAAACATGTCAAGTCATGTCACGCCCAGACAAAATTGTAAGTCAAATGATAAATTTACTTCAAGTTCATGGTCTTAAGGAAAAGTTAGATGATCCTGAAAAACCTTGAAGAGGACCTAAAACAATTGTCTTACACTTGAGCTAAACGTTGTAGCACATAGTCCTTTGAGAACAAGATTATATAGAACTCATTATATAGAATACATTTGAATTGAAAAAGCTCCCTGGTTGAGAAGCGAAACGTCTTCAAACTTGGAATCTCGGGCATCAAATGCTGCTGAACTTTTAACTTTTAGCCCTTTAAATTGTTCATCTCATTGTATTTTTCAATAACGCATTTTTTGCACAAATGCCATTTTGCACTGAACCACTGCAACTTGCACACTGTCTCTTATCCTCTGCACTGTTCACACTTTGACCACTGCTGCACTTTTTGTATTTTTCTATAACTCGTGCCATTGTGAAATATCAATGCAACGTTCATAAGCTGTATGTAACGCAATTTCGTTCTGTATGCACCCTGTGCATACAAAATGACAAATAAAGAAGTCTAAGTCTAAGTCTAAGAAACCAAGTCCAGTGGATTGTTTTTAATAATTTTTTTTTTTTTTTTGTAAAGATTATTTAGATTTTTACAAGAGACTATTTTCTGTTTGGTAACCTGAGATATTGTAGAGCTTTCAGGTCTGTGTTACAGAAGTAAGAACAAGAACAACTGTCATTATAGCAGACGGATAGAAAATGACCTTATACTCTAGCAGTATTTCAAGGTTTAGCAATTTATCAGTCAGCATAAACAAAATTAACAAGACAAAATATATGTGCCAGATAAGAATAAAACACAAGTTTTATTAGTTCCCACATGACATCAGCCTTCGCCTGTGCTGCCATTATGATGGCACAATAAACCTGGAAGCAGCTTTCCACTTCATTGATCGCACATAAGAGAACAGCGATCGCTGTATGCCATTGGGTTCAAAGGTTAAAATAAAAATGTGATAAAGCAGTAAAGAAGCGTATTCATGACATGTCAAGAATCAGAAGAAGAAAAAGTGACCAAAATATTCCACCAGGCATTGAGCGTTGATGAGAATGGAAGGTTAACATCCAGACAAAAAGCCATCTAATATGGCACCAAATACTCAAATCACTTAATTAGTAGTAAAGACACTCTTAGATGTTTTAGAAAAGTGGATGTAGCTTAACAAATGTAAACAAACATCCATGTACACTAAGAAGAATAGGACAGAAATGCCTAGTTAATACATCTAAATGCACACATTTCTGTAAAGTCTTGTAGAAACCTTCATATTAAATCTGAATTTGTTTCGATTTTGAGATTATGAATGCAAACTATCAGCAAATTTATCAGTATCCTTCATGGAATAAACAACATAGTTTACTTACCCTGCATTTTGGATTTGTTCACCTCCTATAGATCTATACCAATAAAAGCTACACACCTAAATGCCAAATGTAGTTTGAATATAAAAAAGGCTTCACAGCACCTTGCTCAGCCCTGCTCTGGATGCTCTGCTGCTCCGTCCGTCCTGCTGCCTTATACTAGAGGATCCTTCTGTCGGTCGACACAACTCCAGAGAGCTCATAGAAGTAAACCTAGTCTGACCAGGTCTGTAGATCTCAGCAGTTGGCCGACCTGTAGCTCCACGGATGCGACCTTGTCTCGTTTCTACAGGTTCTTCAGCAATGAGATCATCGTCCATCTCAGGTTTGATATCAATAACAGCTTCTGAAGGGAGAGGCTCCGTGCTAGACTTAACAGCTGAGGTGTGTCGTGAGAAGCCCTTTCCCAGCATCCCTTTCCTAAAAACAAACAACAAGTGTGTGTATTACACCACTTACAAAATCAATCTGCATTCAAACTATGAACATCTCTGATGTTGCTGGTATTTTCAAATATCGATTACTGTAAAAATGTCCTGTATAGTGATTATTTATTCTCCAGGTGCACAGTTTTTTATATTATGAAAAAAATTTACAGTGCAGATTTTATCGTTTATCTTTTAACTCTTCACTAGTATGTTATTCTTATACATTTTCCTAAAGACCAATTTATGGGTCTGACGCATAGCATCTGCAACCGTCAAATCTGTCTCTGTGCGCGACCATGCCCCCCACGCAGAGGTTCTGCAACTGTCGTAGCGCACATAAAAAATATCCTGACTACGCATCGGGCGCTCACAAATCTGTGCAGATCACAAGCGGAAGTGCGCAGACAAAAAGCAGCTGTGATTGGTCCTTGGTATGCCTTTCCAGCTGTCTAATTGCTCTTTCTTCACGTTTCGGTGCCGGGGTGTACCATTTTTAAAAACCGAGGAACAACTTCAGTGGACAACTACGATGAAAGGTTAATCGGTCTTTTTCCCAACTCCATTAACAGAACCTGTTCCTCTTCTATGTCTAGCAACTTTAGATCCATCTCCGTGATATCTTGAAGACACGCCATTGTTGTTTTGGAAAATAAACAATCTCGCTAGCGCCGTCGAAGTTCTCGTGACCATCTGCCCAAAAAGTTCTCTAATAGGCTCCCCCTTGCGCTTTGGCCGGAAACTGCTTTGCATCCCTAGAAATTCCAGACCGACATTGCAGAAGCATACCAGCAAAACTGGTTCGCGACCAGACCCAAGCGACATTTGATGTATGCGATTGCAGAAGTATAATCTGCCCTTAAGGTCCACATTTGTATGAACACCACAATTTCCCCATTGTGGGACAATATAGCAATTTTCTATCATATTCTATTCAAATACAGAGAGATTCCAGGTACCTGCTGTCATAAGCAGAACTCGACACAGGAGCTTCAATCCTATCAGTCCGTGAGCTGGAGACCGCTAGCAGCTTCAAGTCGTCCCCTCTGCCATTTTCATTTACAGACGATTGACTCTTCCCAAGTACAGGAACAGCATCAGACTCCAGTTGCCTTAGAGATGCTGGCTCTAATAAAACAAACCATCCAACAAGATAAGATAAAATACCTTTCATGATCATAGATAACAAAAATAATTAAAAACCATAGTAGTATTGTTTCCAACCTCCAGCAACAGATCTTAGTTTCTCCAGGACACCATGAAGCCTGAAATAAGAAAATCAATGTTAAAGAAGAAAGAAAAAAACAAAAACAACAAAAAAACAATGTAAAATGTTTGAAAACAAAGAAAAGCAAGGGCTTAATTTAGATCATACCAAGTTGTAAACTTAATAGTGTTGTTTCCAAGGAACAGAGAGAGGTCTTCAGTCATCTGCTGGGAGGTTTTCTTATTTGCTACCATCACCATGATGTAGTCAGGAAGCTCTTCGTCTGCAGAAGAACATAAAACGTTAAGAAAAAAATTGAATATTCAAAGTTATTAGATTTATCAAATCCCCCTTAGGTAGGGTCCCGTTAATTTCCCTTTTTTTCTTTATCAGCTTACCAATATAGGCGCCTAGCTCCTGCAGTTTGCCTTTGATAGCAGCCTGTAACACAACAGACCTTATGATGAAAAACGTTAGCTAAATAAAATATTATTAGCATATATGCTACCCTGGTGTCATTATCAAAAAGTAAGACGTTAGAAAAATAGTCGGCGAATGGGTTAGACCAAAAACCAAAATAAAAAAGTCAGTCATAGTAAACCAAATGACAAATAGAGGGCAACACAAACGCCACCGAGTATTAAAACAGCTTTCTGGACATGGTGATGCTAACAAGCTAACGAGCTAACCAGTGACTCTGTTAGATTTCGGAAAAATGGCGGACAGCTGTGACGCAAAATCCAAAGACACTCACTCGTATTTTCTTGCTTATTTCAGTTCCAATCTCCATCTTTGCTTGTTTATTTAGGCAATGCTCAACCGTTTTAATGATACCTCCACAACGAAACAGACAGGGACAAAGTGACGTAGAGACCACGTGACCACCGCGAGGAGCCGCGAGGACACGAGTTAAACAGATCCACAGTTTCAGTCTTGCATTCAGTCTTGCAAACATATATATATATATATATATATATATATATATATATATATATATATATATATATATATATATATATATATATATATATATATATATATATATACATATATATATATACATACACATATATATATATACATACACATATATATATATATATATATATACACATATATATATATATATATACACATATATATATATATATATACACATATATATATATATATATATATATATATATATATATATATATATATATATATATATATATATATATATATATATATATATATATATATATATATATATATATATATATATATATATATATATATATAAGCCTAACAGAAAGTTAGAATTTCTCTAAATCAGTACTCTTTCTAGTACATAAATACTGTATTAACATTATGGAGATTAAGGGACATTAAATATTGTTTGTGTATATATATATATATATATAGGTTGGCAAATTCTCCTGCTACAGGAAATATTCATCTAATATAATACAAAATATATAAAATATATATATTTATTTTGGTTTAAGTTTTATGTAACATTTTTTTTTAAAAGGGATTCCTTTATCTAAGTTTTTTCTAGGCCAGAAAAACCTCGAGTGAAACTTGATGAGATAAAGAAAACAAACCAAAATATAAAGATTTTAATTTAAAGTAAACCCAACTAAATGAAACAAAATTGAACAAGTCAACGTAAAACTGAGTGGACAGACAAGATTGCTGGTTATCATTAAATAAGCAAGCACAGAAACTGAAATAAATAGGCTACCTAGAAATCCACTAGATGGCGTAAGAGACTGTTTGGCCCAACTTTCTATTCTTGAATCCACAGTTTACCGTAGGAGGGGTGCCTATGACACGCATAGATGGCATTTTCCAATTTCATCTTAAATACTGAACTCAGCACTTATTAGAATGTGGTGAAAAGAAATGCATTACCTAGTTGTTGAAGCTATGTTCAAAATACTATGTGTTGTTTATATATATATATATATATATATATATATATATATATATATATATATATATATATATATATATATATATATATATATATATATATATATATATATATATATATATATATATATATATATATATATATATATATATATATATATTTATTTATATATGTCTGCACACTGTTTTTTTCTTTACATGTATTTTACTTTTTAGCCCTCATTGCTGTGTGTGTTTTTATTCAGCAATTATTTCCTGTTTTGCAGCCCCTCAATGCCAACTAACAATGACGGGAAGGATCTAGCCTACAGTCTAGACGAATGTCTAACACGTTCTCTGTGGTAGTTGTCTGCTTAGTCTCTTTCTGTGTTTACAGCCCTCATCGGAGCTAAAAGGAACAGTGCCTGTTTGCACAATTCAGTGCATGGACTTTGTGCGGCATCATATTTTCTATCCCATTTCCAGGTATGAGTGTCACTGTTTTTTTCCCCTTCAACACTAAAATATGGCTGTATTGAGGAATACCTCAAACACGATTCAGCCCAATGCTCATTTGTGTGGTCAAAAACCTCATAACCCAATGAAGTTCATCACTGCTGTTAAAAGGTAAAGGGGAGATGGGAAATAAGAAACTTTTCAGAGAAACTGTCTTCAATGACTTACATGAAACCGCCAGAGAAAACCAGAAACTAATCCAGCTTTATTTCTCAGAATGCTATGTGTAAAACAGAAATCATTTTCTAGATACCTTTGCTTATGGACCAAGAAAAAAACATAAGATAAAGGAGCAGTGTGAAAACACTTCTGAGAATATCTACCTTAATTCCAGATGTAACTGTCATGAGGCTACTAAGCTTGTTACCACAAGTCTTATCTGTGGTAGGCATCAAACTCTCCTCTCACACGAACATCATCAAGGTAACTGTACTTTCTTTTCCCCTCAATTGTTATAAACTAGGAGAGCTGCCTCGTGAATCAACTGATCAACTTCTGCAAATTCTTTAACCACATGTGTCTTGATGACGACAATCCTGACACCAAAAAAGCCTCTTCCTGTCCCAGAGCCACTGCTCTGCTCTGCTCTGCTCTAATCTTCCTCAGAAAACCAGAAGAAGCCTTGATGTTTGGATTGAGTAAAGGTCATGCTTCAATGCTAGACGAGAAAAGAGAAGAGTAAGAAGTTTGTGGAGAGAAATAATAATCATTTTCAACTGCTCTGCCATATTCCCTAAAAAGCTTATACTGGCTTTCCCATGAAGGTGCCAATAAAATAAATCAGTGTGCTACTGTGTGGTGCACACAACCCACCTGAATCTCAGAGACATTCAGTTTGATGTAAAGTGAAATATTCAAGCATAGAAGCATAATGTTATCTGCAGTTTTAAAATGTTTGCAAACTTGTTTATATGAGCTTTTAAATCTGAAGCTAGATCTTATCTAACCAAGGAAATAGTAGCTGCGTTTTCAACAAATGTGCTCAGAACATTGCTAATATTCTGCTAATATGCAATGCATTCATCTGCTTACCCGTCTGTCATAGAAGCTCTGTATAAATTCAGCTGCTCTGCGATGATCTCAGAGGTTTGTTTGAGAATATTATCGAACAAGTAGAACTGTTACCCCACAGAACACATCAGATATTCCTGGAATACATATGTATCTGGAAAAAAAAATGGAGCAGCTGTCTGCAAACTAATAAAGAAATATTTGTGTGCCATAAATGCAGCAACCAAGAGGCCATTTTAAATCCAAAAGAGAGTCTGTTTGCAGGACAACCTTAAGTTGTGCCCACCACTATCCTAAATGGAACATGGGAGGAAGCAATCTATTAAACCTCCTCCAAAAATAATTTATGGAAGATAGTAAAAACACGAGAAAGAAGGTTTTTAAATAATACAAGACTGAAATGTATCTTTTTAGCATACCAGTCATCATAATTTGAAGTCATCATTGGTGTTCAATGGGGATACTATTTATTAGCAGGGAGAGGGTATCAGTTCAGAGTTTCTGCAAATATGGATGCAGCTAAATACAGGGCAATTCTAGATGAAAACCTGCTGAGACTAAAAGACAGTTCAGACCCGGTGGAGATGGTAAAGTGTCCTTCCAATGAGATAGTGATTCTGAGCATATGGGTAGAGTTAAAATATAAAGATTTACATGAAAGCACATCCATGTAGGCCATAAAAACCCCAGACTGACTGTAAATCCAGTGCCCTGATAGTATGTGGCCAAACCTGAAAAGTGTTTATTACAAAGGCTCTTAGTGTCATGATGGGTTCACTGAAAGCGACCCAAGAATGCAGAACACCTCTGACGGACACAAGGATGAAAGTTTAACAGTTTTATTTTGCACAAACACACTGAATATTCTGGTTCAGGTTCGGGGCCTGGATTCTGGTTCACCGGAGTCTGCGTGAGAGACAGTTCAGTTAGCGTTGCCAACAGGGAGTTTGATTTCCAGAAGTCTACTGATAGTACCTTGAGGGTTCTTGAGGTTAGCTTTGGGAGAGTCACTGTAGGTTCTGGAGAAGAGTTCATCAGCAGAGTCCGTAGCTGCTTCAGCGTCTCACGTCTACTTAGAACAGACCTTGGCTTTGAGTTATCCAGCTCAAGTCCAGAGCTGCTTGGAGGTTCTCTGTGAATCTTCAGGTTTGACTCAGAGGGTCGGCTCGGCAGGTTAGCTCTTCCAGAGCTTTCACAGAGGAGGCACAGGTTTCCTGGAAAACAGATACAGGGGTTAGAATCCAAACTGGATTCAAAAGTCATCGAAATACTCTGAGGATCTAGGCTTAAGCGCTGACCAACTGGAACAACACTGCGGCGTTGAGGCAAGGTCTGAAGACAGCTTAAGTTGTGGATCCTGTGATGATCTAGACGAGCTGCAGCTGTGCAGGAGGCTCCCTCAGAGGATCCACGGCAGACTCTGCTGGAGAAAGGTGGAACTTCTCCAGCTCCCAACACTTAGTCCCTTCGGATTTAGATTAAGTTATTTTTAAATAAAGATTCTGGTTTCTAGATGTATACAGCTGGAAAATAATTTTGTAGCTTTATGCTTCACACCAATGCACAATAATTCTACACAACAATGAAAAGCTCTGTCAGTTTATGACTAAAATTCCCAAAATAAATACATTGTAGTTTACTGCTGTAATGCTAAAACAGTGTTAAAGGTCATAAGGGTTTAAATAGTTTTGTAAGGCATAGTGAAGATGATGCAGATATTGTTTTGCAGCAAATTGTGTGTGAGCAGAGAGCAACATTACTTAAGAATGCACTGAAATGTTTCAGTAAATCCTGCTTTTATTCACAAGATATCCTTCCTGAAGCTGCTGCAGCTTAGTGTGGCAAGGAAGTGAAAGCCCATTAAGATTTAGAGCTGGTTTAATCACCACTTGCTGGAGGCTGTTTCAACTTGATGAGTCAGATTCATACAGCTGGAAACAGTTGAAAATTTATGTTTTGGGGGGTGTAAGTGCAAGTCATAGCAAGTCTTTATATCTGACTATCTGACTGTGGATTAAGAGAACAACACAAATGGGTAAAAGCTTCCACAGCAGCATTTCAGTTTTTTTTTTTAGTTTCAGTGGAGTGATAAGAATTGTTGTTATTAAAAATCCCTTGAGCCCCATCAAATTCAAAAACTGGATGTGTTTTCTTTGCGAATGCTGCTTTCTATTTTCTCTTATTCACTATCCTCCCACACAGACTGGCAACTTTTGGTCAGGCTCTTTACAGGATCTTGTTTTAAGAGAAGGCTCTAATGTGGCATTTATGTTAAAAGGATATATGGATTTTGCTGGATTAAAGGCATACAGCAATCAAAACAGGTTTCTAAGAACGTGGATCAAGGTGGGGATGCTTTAAAATGCATTTTCCCTCTGGCAAAAAGC